ATAGCACAGCACATTACAACTGATACAACAGGCAGAAAAACCAGTTCACGTCTTTAAAGTGTCTATGTTTATGCAGCTAAACACCACTACTTATAAGCAACCAGAAGGAACCTGAAGCCTCAAAGAACAAAGTATTTGGGGGGGGGGGTTGACTGGGTGGTGGTGGAAAGAAACAGCCCCAAAGTAACTCAAAGACCAAAAATGTTCAGAGTCTGAGAAGTGAAGGAATCCTTAAAAGTGGGAAAGGGAGAAGATAAAAATATAAACTAGTACAGTACATGGAACAAGAAGACGAGTTCTGTACGTGCAGAGGTATGTGAGCACACAGTACAGACAAGCATCTCATTCTCTAGATGGAACACTTCCATTATTTTTAAAATGTCCTCGGGCACAGAAGCATTGCAAGCAGTCATCAGTGGACAAATAAAGCAGTTAATGAATGTTCTGGGCTTGGGGACAAGCGCAGTCACCCACTCCCCCACTAAATAAAAGGAGAGGTAAGAGATGCACCTGGAGAGAAGCCTCGGAAACGAAACATGCCTCAGTGAGCACTGGATGCTGAGCAAATGTGGGAGGCGGGAAAAGGGGGGGATGAAACAGCTGAAGGGCCCGATCCCTACTTCCAAGGTTGGGGGGGGGTGTCCACCACCGTTTCTAACATAGCATGCTGCAATACATTCAAAGCAGGCCCACCCATGCAGTGTTGCCACGCTGACTTGGAGACCCCCGAGATCTGCAGAAGCACACAAATTCTTTTAGCGAACTGGGGGGGGGGGCTGGAGCTGCTGCCGCCGCCGCTCGAGCCAGGAGTGCAGGGCCTGCTCTGCAGGCACTTAAGCAGCTTCCCAACCAGCAGGCCCAGTGGGGGCCCCAGCTCTGGCCCAGGGAAAACGGACGCGGGACATAGCTGCGGAAAGTGTCGGGCCAGCCCCCTCCTCCTCCTCTTCCTGCGGGGAGGCTCCCCCCCCCATGCCTAAAAACACGCCAGCTGGAGGAAACGCCGCCACCCCCCTGCTGGGGGGGGGACGGACAAAAGAGGGGGTTGGGCAGGGGGGCCGCGCGACGGAAAAGGCGGGCTACAAACATAACGGCAATAACGGTGCCCTGACTAGAGCATCTGCCGCTGCCAGAAGGGCTTCGCTCGTCGAGCGGCGGCGGCGGCCCCGTCTCGGGGGCGGGGGTCGTTGCAGAAGAGAGGCCGTTCCACCCCCTGCATTGGACGCGGCCCGAGCCTGCGGGGCTCCCTCGGCGCGCCGGGGGGGCAGAGATCCCGCACAGACAACGAGCATTTCTTGGTGGGGAGGGAGGGAGGGTGGGAGGAGTCACCTGTCGAGCAGCGGAGCGGGCGCCCCCCCTCACCACCCGCACCCCGAGCCCCGGACGAGCCGACGCCGGAGAAGGGCCGGCACGGGGCAAGGGGAGGGGGCGCCCCCCCTCGACCCGACCCGGCCGGGGGGGCCGGTCCCTCCCTCCCTCCCTCTGAGGGGCCGCCCCCTCCCGAGCCCCAGGGGAGGCGAGGACGCGGCGAGGCCGGCGGGCTCTTCTTTACCTCCCTCCCCTGAAGACGAGGAAGCGGCCGCAGCCCCGGACGGATCCGCCACAGACGCGCCTTTCGCAGCCGAACCGACCCCAGACGACGCCGCCGCCGACGCCTCCCCTGCCCGCCCTCTCTCCGCCGCGCCAGGGTGCGGCTTTGAAGGGTCCGCAAGCCAATAAGCGCCGCAATCATTGGAGCGCGCCCGCGTCCCGAGCAAGCCGCCTGCTCATTGGCCGCTCCTGCGGGGGGAAAGGCCCGCCCACCCGCCTTCTGGGATCGTAGACTTAGAAAGGAAGAGTAGGGAGTCCGCGCTCTGCTGCGGAGATGCGCCGGGTCCTTTCGGGGGCCATTTGCTAGAGCAGGAGGCGACAAAGGGAAGAACCCGGGATTTTTAAGCCGGTGCAGCAGCTTCTCGCCCACGCATTCAGACGAAATGTTGACGTGAAGGCGGAATTTTATTTTATTTTTTTTAAAGAAACGAACTACCTCCTTAAACGTTGTTTTTTTAAAGTAATACCCAGCAATTAAAGTGCAAGCACAGGCAGTGGGTGGGTAACACTCTGCAGCCTAATGCAGTGCCGTGGAAGCTGTTTCTGAAAATGGATTTTACAAAGCTAAACACAAAAACAATAAAGGAGGCATACTAACAGAAAAGAAACACATCGTATTCCCTATGCAGTGGAAGTTAGTAGTAGCAGCAGCAGAATTTATTACCCACTCTTCACCCTAAGGTCCCAGGGGTTACAACAATCAATCAATTAATGTTATTTTCATTGTTATTATTAAAAACAACTTTAAAACAATTTACAATCACAGAATAAGGTGTGAGTCTTACAAAATATACACCCTAAGGGTCAAAAGCCAGGGCAAAGAGGCGGGTCTTTGGCATTTGCCAAAAGCTGCGTAATGAAGGTATCAGATGACACCCATGGGGAGTGAGTTCCACAACTTAGGGGCTGCCACAGAGGAGGCCCAAACCCAAGCCACCGCCACCCCATTGAATTTATGAGTGCAGAGGAACTACCACGAGGTCCCTGGCTATAGATCTTAACATCCAAGAGGGAGGCAGTGGACTTTCAGGTATGCGGGGCTAGAGTTATTCAGGGCTTTAAACACCAACGTGAGCACCTTGAATTGAGCCTAGAAACAAACTGGCAACCAGTGCCGCTGTTTAAAACAGGAGTTATATGATATCTGTATGAAGCCCCAAGGGACGCGGGTGGCACTGTGGCCAAAACCACAGAGCCAAAGGCTCGCCGATCAAAAGGTCGGCGGTTCGAATCCCCAAGATGAGGTGAGCTCCTGTTGCTCAGTCCCTGCTCCTGCCAACCTAGCAGTTCGAAAGCACGCCAAAGTGCAAGTAGATAAATAGGTACCGCTCCAGCGGGAAGGTAAACGGCATTTCCATGCACTGCTCTGGTTCACCAGAAGCGGCTTAGTCATGCCGGCCACATGACCCGGAAGCTGTACACCTGCTCCCTCGGCCAATAAAGCGAGATGAGCGCCGCAACCCCAGCATCGTCCATGACTGGACCTAACGGTCAGGGGTCCCTTTACCTTTATATGAAGGCCCAGCCACTAATCTGGCCGGTGCATTTTGGAACAATTGAAGTTCCTGAGTTGTCTTCAAGGGCAGCCCCAAGATGTGGGTAGTACAACAAAGAACCAAAGAAAAAGTAGCAATTGTCATAATGAGCAGAACATTTTAGGCAGAACAAAGGATGCTATGCTGGCTGAGTAGTAGGAACTACCCAATCTAGCCAGAATTGCAGTTTGTTAGCTCACTCACACACATTAGTCATTGTTTTAGTGCTTTTTAAAGTGTTTAAAGTGCTTTCTTTCTTGCCAATTCAAAAGATCACTGGATGGTGAGTATACATTGTCTTTCAAAACTTGATTATTACCCAATGGAAATGGACAGGGTCTTAAAGGGTATAAGGAACCAGTGGCTTCCGACAAATTTTTCACAGCATCTGTCCGGCATCCTGGACTGAGACTGGAAGTCATGACATCTGCAGTGGAATCCACAACTGTCCACAGTGTCTCAAGAACCATGGACTGTTGGAAACTGTCCCAGGGAGCCACTGGGGTGGCAAAGACACCACACATAAGGAGGAGGTTGCTGGTTTTGTTTTAAAAGCACCTGACATGCAGTTTTTGAACAGGGAAACTAATATTTAACACTGTAAAATACCTAAACATAATCCATTTGTCTTGGATATTGGTTCTCTAGAATGTGTCTCAACTATTTCCACATGACTTCAAACATCAAGCCAACACTTCCTTTTCATTGTAAACTAATGCTAATAGTTTCCTGTTTGGTCTATTCCTTTTGAATAGGTTATATGTCTGTTACTACATTCCAGTCATGGGTTTCATGCCACCAGGTTTCCGTAATGCCTATTATATCATGTATGGCATCCTGTATTAAGAGCTCAAGTTCATCTTGTTTATTTCCTATGTTCTGTACACTAATATAGAGGCAACTGTAACCATAAGCCATTCCCTCCAGCTGCTTCATTACTGTTTTTTTCTTGCACATTAGCGGGTTCCTGTAGCACCACCCCAGTTTCCTGTCCATCCATGAAGTTATTATTCCCAGTACTTGGTGTCCCCATCCTCTGAAATATTGTCTCCCTCATCCTGAGGATTCCGTTTAAAGCTCTCCTAATCATGATCTCATATGTTTGACAGGTGGCTTTTTCCACCCACCTGTCCTATTTGTCCTGCCAAAGGTCCTTCATCCTTTGCCTATTGTGGGGTGGGTGGGAGGCTTGGTGAAATCTAAGGGGACAGGGGATCTAAGGGGAACAGGGGAGTTGGCAAGCTGTAAAGGGGTGGGGATGGCAAGGAATAAGCTAGGAGTGGGTGGCTTTTCTGGGACATAGGCAGTTTGTGAGCAAAGTGAGTGGGAACAGCAGCCACTGGTGCTACAATTAATATGCTGGTCTTTAAAGATGCCACAAGGTTCTATACCCAGTGCTTAGGTAGCTGTGCTCCTTGGGTTGAAGATTTCCAAAGACTTCCTTCAAAAAGGGGGAAAATGTGTTTCCTGAATATTTTATATAGGAATAGCATACAACAGTATTTTCTTTATACCTGAACAGGATTAAATTAAAGTTTGGTGCATATGTGGTCTGTGTACACATAACTACTATCTATGTTAGGTAACTCATGCTTGTTAATATGACCATGACTTGAACCATTTCTTCAGTCTGATGCACCGATTTGGTTATAAGCATCTTTGAAGCATCTGCATTCAGCACTTGGTGCAAAAAGTCTCCCTTACCTTGATACGACACAACTTCCACAGAAATGCCTTGCCTTCAAGACATACATGGCACACATGTCTCATGCACAGCAAAATTCTAATGAATACATTTGAAAGATGTAGTACGGCACTGTTGACTTAATATTGAACAAAATAATTATACAGGAACCATCACAGATGTATCAACACAAATCACAGATTGAGAAATCTTTATATAAACCCTGTTCAGTAGAGTTCTTCTTTCATAAGAGCCATAGTTCATTGGTATAGTTCTTACAATATAAAAATAATGAAATATAGGACATTTAAAACCCCTTATTTTTCACATTAATTTGCATGTTAAAAACAAGTTGCCATTCTATTTATTCATTGGGTTAATACTTATGGTTAATCATATGGTCAACACATTTCTTTAACTTAACTATTTGGTGATAATATCAAAAAGTGCATATACATCAATATTCCTGGTAGATTTTTTCCAAAATTACAATTTGGCGTCAGCTGAATTTTCACACAGTTACCCTTGCACAGAGGTGCTTTGTAACTCATTAAGCAGAGCAAAATACAACAATATTGTGTGATGTGTGTAAGAGTGAGAGAGACTGGTGCTTACTTTGACAATTATAGTGAGGGTCTAGAGGCCTAGGGGGTCCAAATGCCCTTAAAATATCACAATTGTGACAAAGCAAAAGTGACAAAGCACATTCATGCATGGTTTGTATTATGGTGGAGTTTTGTGTTATTTATAGCTAAATTATAAACTATTTAAAAACTTTGTCAAGCACCAGTGATGAGTCAAAAACCAGCCAGGAAAACACATAGCAAGAAGCCATTAGTACTTTGCTTCCAGGCATGTCTCTTAGTAGCTCTGTTAGTTGTCCATATGACCCATTCAAGTTAGGAGGTGTCTTCAGCCCTCTTCTGAAATTGGTCCAGACTCTTTATGAAAAGCACAGGGGGAGGGGGAGGGGATATCAGTCTATAACCATTCATTAATGAGGAAGGTCAACAGTTGTGTCCTAGGATTCCATAACTGTGCTTATGTGTTAGAGCGAGAGTGGATTAGGTAGGTCTGTCACCTGGGTCCAGAATAGCCGTAAGGAAATTTGAGGACCAGATTACGGTGGCTGGGCAAGACATGGCTGCCGTAGTGCTCAACCAGACTTCCAAGGCTTAGAAACACAACATCTGCCTCCAGGTAAAACTTTGAGTCCTGTTGCGGAAGTAAAATGGACATCTGAAGTCACTGACCACCACAGGAATATTCCATGACAATACAACAGACATACAACTCAGAGCAACTCTGACATACTACAAAACATAACGAATTGGCTACACTCCATAATGTTCGCAAGCCTAATTCTGGTTAATGTTCAGATCAGAATACTGTATTTCCTCCCTTCAAACATAAAAAAAGGTAAAGGACCCCTTAAAGTTAAGTCCAGTCGCAGACAACTCTGGGGTTGCGGCGCTCATCTTGCTTTACAGACCAAGGAAGCCGGCGTTAGTCCGCAGACAGTTTTTCCAGGTCATGTGGCCAGCATGACTAAGCTGCTTCTGGTGCAATGGAACACCGAAACCAAAGCAGTGCACGGAAACGCCGTTTACCTTCCCACCAGAGCAGTACCTATTTATCTACTTGCACTTTTTGGCATGCTTTTGAACTGCTAGGTTGGCAGGAGCTGGGACCGAGCAACAGGACGCAGGGATTCGAACAACCGACCTTCTGATCGGCAAGCCCAAGAGGCTCAGTAGTTTAGACCACAGCGCCACCCACGTCCCTTTCCCTTCAAACATACGAAGACCTAAATCTGAAAAATCAGATGAGGCCCTTCTACATCTCCTTATACAGTGGTACCTCGGTTTTCGAGCACCTTGGAAGTCAAACATTTCGGTTTTCAAACACCGAAAACCCGGAAGTAACTGCTTCGGTTTTTGAACGCTTTTTGGGAGCCAAACGTGCCACATGGCTTCCATATTGAGTTTTTGGGATGTAAATGCTTCCAGAAATGCATGCTTCGGTTTTCAAACGTTTCAGAAGTCCAACGGTCTTCCAGAATGGATTATGTTTGAAAACCAAGGTACCACTGTAATCCAAACTCTGTGGAGGAAGATTAGTTTAGAAGCACAGCGAATATTATTTTATTCAATCACATAAAATAGAAGGGAATAGTTGCAAACCATGTTTTTACCCACCTGTTGAAAGATTCTGTAGTTTCTCACTTTCCCAATAGATTCATCCCATACAACCAATACCTTAAAAGAGGAAAAAATCAAGATAAACACCTTACAACACCAACCATGTCCCAAACATCTTCCCAGTTGGTATATTGTGAACAAAATTATTACAATTTGGTTTATTACCTTGCCAGGATTTGTGGATGAATTCCTAATACAGAATAATCCACTTTTCGGGTGTCCTGTGGGGTTTTCTGATCTGAACATCCTAAAATTGTAGGAAAATACTGAATTGTTACTTTTTTGAAACAACAAAAACAAGCTTCAATATGGCAATCACAACAAATCTGCCAAATGAATTCTCAGCAACAGCACTCATTTTCAGAACAGGTTAAAGATTTGCATAGCCATTCAGAACACAGATATTTGAGGAAACTACAACATGCCCATTATGGAAAACAGATACATACTGCACATCAATGAGAGCAACCTAACCTAGTCATAAGTTGCCACAGGATCCCATCTGCAAAGCTCTCGGCACCCAGTAATCCATACTACAATAGTACATATCAGTACGTATCAAGTGCCCAGAATTCTGGTTTTCAGCCCTTTGCCAGCAGCCATTTCCCCTCAGTTTTCCATCCCTTTTTCTCACTGATTTTTGCAGCAAGCACTAGGAAATAATCAACATACCACAATGGCTTGCAATAAATTTATTTTACCTTTCAACTTCAAGGGATTCAGAGGTGTTCACAAATACTGAATTAGGCAGCTCAACCTGTATGGAAAAAAAGGTTGTCAAGCCAAAAGAATAAAAAGAGTACAATAGGTAAATGCCTATCAAAAGCAACTTTATGATCACACGTGACCCCACCCATCTGTGAATCAAGCCCAAATCACTCACATAGGGAAGCATATGTGACATCAGGGCAACATTAAGAGAGTTGAATTATGAGTTGGCAGTTCATCAACGCAAGTTTTTATTACTATATGCCTTCAATGCCAAATTACAGGAAATGCAGAATACTGCCCCTAAGATAATAAAAGGCAGATGCCGCAGTACCAACAATTCTGTAACTTGACTTAGCACTCAATAAAAGCCTGGTAGAGTGCCCTCTTTGTGCCAGGCTTGTGGGAGGGTGAGGTGCCACCAAGCATGGGCTTGGGGCTGCTGCTGCCAAACTCTGTCCCTCCTCCGTGTCTCTCAGGACTGTAATCACCACGAGACTTTATCTGCAGCCACTTACGGAATCAACATCCCGCATACATCTACCAAATGCTTGGCCTTCCCCCCACCCCACTTGAGTGGGCTTATCATGTGGCAACGGTTCACAACCGGACTTGCTTGGCATTGGTAGGATCTATTGTCCAGGATGCGTAAGGGTGGGCTCCCTGCTTACCTTCTGGAGCTAGATCTTTAAGGGGCTTGAGGCTGTGGACTCAAAGCCTGAGAGATGACTAGCCAGCCATACCCTTCAGGTCAACAGTGCCGGTCATAAGCCATTTGCCACTACTTACACTTGCGATTACTTTCTTGTCCTAATCTGCTACTTGCTGCAAGTACAAGCCCACATTTTCAAACACTATGGAGTACATACTTGAATACTGTGACACACATTACAACATTCCTACCACATCGATTTTCCAGATGTTTCTGGACTACACCTCCCATCATCCTTGACCACTGGCTATCCTGGCTGGGGCTGGTGGGAATCGGGTGTCCAACAACTTTAGACTGCAAACTGCCCTGTGATCTTCAGATGAAGGGTGGCATATGAATTTAATAAATAATAATAATAATAAATAATACCACTGCAATTTTTTGATGCAAACGCAATGTCATGGTGAGCTGCATGTGAATTTAGTGTATACTCCTACTTTACAAGTGCTTTTGCTGTAGCCATTCAGTAACATATGAGCAGTTCTGCTTGTTTAAAGATCATTAGATGATTTGCCCATGAATTCCAAATACAAGGTATATCAGGGTTCTGGTACCAGCCAACAGGATAGGACTGTATAAAGCAGAGCAATCTTACGGAATGAGCTGCCTTACCTTTTCATAGTCACCATCAGACTCTTCTCCAGATAAGTCTGGTTTTGAAGGCAATAGTGGATTCTCAAATGAGGCAACTCGGAAACTTTGTCCATCTGGAGAAGATCTTCTAGGAGAAGCAGAGTCTAAACTGAAATTAGAAAGGAAATATTACAACGTTAACAGATTACGTAAGGAGATTCACATATGCCCAGTGCTTCATATGAACTGAGCCTGGGATAGATATACTGAGTCTTCATAACTGAAGCATATGAATTGAATAATGCAATGCAACCAATAAATACACATGTGGCTGCACACAGCAGGCAAAAATTGGCAAAAGCAGACAAGTCGCTTTGCTCACCATTGTTGATCTTCCATTGAGAAACTCCCAGTAAAACTTCTAAGGGACCCTAGAACACCTGGGAGCAAGTCTGAAAGCTAACTATCTAAAGCCATTCCAGATGCTTAATTAGCATTAAAGGTAAAGGATCCCTGACAGTTAAGTCCAGTTGCGAACGACTCTGGGGTTACGGTGCTCATCTCGCTTTATGGGCCGAGGGAGCCGCAGACAGTTTTTCTGGGTCATGTGGCCAGCATGACTAAGCTGCTTCTGGCGAAACCAGAGCAGCGCATGGAAACGCCGTTTACCTTCCCGCCGGAGTGGTACCTATTTATCTGCTTGCACTTTGACGTGCTTTTGAACTGCTAGGTTGGCAGGAGCTGTGACCAAGCAACGGGAGCTCACCCCATCATGGGGATTCAAACCGCCGACCTTCCAATCGGCAAGCCCTAGGCTCAGTGGTTTAGACCACAGCGCCACCCGCATCCTATTAATTAGGATTAGGGGACCACAAATACAGTCACCAATCAATCAGGAATCGAATTCAGGGAACCAGGACAGGAGTTTAGTCAGCAGCCTGGAAAAACTGCAGTATTTTGCCATTTGTTAGAATCTGTGACGCGGGTGGCGCTGTGGGTAAAAGCCTCAGCACCTAGGGGTTGCCGATCGAAAGGTCGGCGGTTCGAATCCCCACGGCGGGGTGCGCTCCCGTTGTTCAGTCCCAGTGCCTGCCAACCTAGCAGTTCGAAAGCACCTTCGGGTGCAAGTAGATAAATAGGGACTGCTTACTAGCGGGAAGGTAAACGGCGTTTCCGTGTGCGGCTCTGGCTCGCCAGATGCAGCTTTGTCACGCTGGCCACGTGACCCGGAAGTGTCTCCGGACAGCGCTGGTCCCCGGCCTATAGAGTGAGATGGGCGCACAACCCTAGAGTCTGTCAAGACTGGCCCGTACGGGCAGGGGTACCTTTACCTTTACTTAGAATCTGTGAAGCAGCAGCAGCAGCAAGCAGGGGCTTAAAAAAATTATATTCTTCTGCCACCTCTGATGTTACATCAACAGAAAAAATAGTAAGAAAAAATTTTCACGAATGTTTTCCCTTTGTGTTGTGTTTTTAAATTTTGTATTCCTGGGACAACTTAGTTTTTTAATCCATTCCCCCCCCTACTAAAATCTGAGGTTATAATGGGCCTTTAAAAGTTTTTTTTTATTCACTAGTTTATCTATAAGCAGACTGTGAGTATTATTTGTAGGTTGGTAACTCAGCAAATTGTTTGCAAGACTGCTCTGGCAGCTTTCCATTCCAAGGCAAGGATTTGGGGGAATGGCAAATGAATTACTACCACATAATTGAATTAACACCAGAATCTCCAACATGATCAATACACATTTGTTTTCCAACTTACTGTGGAGGCAAAGGATTCTCTGGTTTAGAAACAGGCACACGTGGTTTCTCACAAGGCACTTGAGGCTTAGCTGGTACTTTTGGTGTCAAAAGTCCAGGTTTCCTTGGTGCCTGGGTATTTACCAGTGGAGTCACTAGATACTGTGGTAATTTGGGCTTGCTGCTTGGCAATGAAGGAGGCACTTGCGCAGGAAGTTTTTTCTCTTTAAACCTCTGACTCTCTTCAGCAGTACGTAAAGTGCAGGTCAGTGGCAGACGTATACCTGAGGAAGAGCAACTCTCTGTGAGGTAGGTGGGCTTTTTGGCCAGAGGAATAGGAGGCACTGGTGGACGCTGGTTAGTGATTTGATGACGTGCTGGGTGGGGTCTCACATCATGCTCTGCTTGGCACTGAAAAGAGAATTCTCCTCTCCTGCTTAAGAGGACTTCAGGCCTCACATCCGTTAAGCTTTTCTTCAGGGAGGGCGCTGGAAGCACCGGCACACCACACCTGCCGGAGAACGAGTGTGCTTTTGTCTCTGGAAAGAAAGCTTTTCCCGGCAATGGAACTGGAGGAGGTGGGTACACTGGTGGAGATACCACATGATCTGTGTAAAAAAGAAGCAGAACAAGCCCGTCATTTAAATGGAAGTGTCTTCTACTCAGAGGAGAATCTGACAAATTTATTTAAAGGTCATTTAAATTGTAGATGGGAGAGAGGGGGAAATGCCACGAGGCACAAATAGAGGACAGAGATGCAGAAATTAGAACAAGTGACAACAACCACTTTAAAAACTGTATTCAAGACGTTAGTGGCATTACAGTCCATTTAGTATGTAATTTAGAGTAAGTCACAGACCCTGGGAGTGACAGAGAAGGAAGGGGCATGGTCCAGATCTGGCCATCACTCAGCAGGCCACATCTCTAGTCCAAGGGCTCATTTTGAGTCTCATCAGTTACCAAACCATTATCTGGTATGCAAGGGAAGACACTTCAGGGTGTATCCCAAAGTTATATTTTGTGGGAAGAATGAGTGACAGAGGTACAATTTGAGATTTTGGTGATCAAGACTTCAACACAGATGTTGCGGAGGAGACTTGGAAAGTTATTTGTTCTTTTAAAAGGGTTGTGAGATTAAACCTAGTTTAATTCAGAAGCAGGATCTAGCGTATCTCAATATATTACTTACAATAGAAGGCAGCATGCCTAGAGAGTGGCAGGTGTAGCTGGGAACTGAGATTGCTTATACAGTGGTACCTCGATTTTCGAACGTCTCTGTTGACGAACATTTCAGTTTTTGAATGCCATAAACCCAGAAGTAAATGAAGAAGATGGATTTTTCGGAGCTAGCCAACCTGACCAGAAGAGTCCGCGACCAGAAGGAGGAGTATCAGGAAGAATGGAATAAATTTAATGATTACTTAGTTAAATTTGTTAAGTTAAACTAACTGGAAATAGCTTGCAGATACTTAATGGGCTTAGGATTTTATTTATGTTAAGTGATGAATTAATATGTTTAATTCTATAAGGTGAAGATTTAAGGATGTTAATGTTTAAGTTAAATTTCATAAAAATTGGGATTTGGAAAACCGTTAAAAGGACATGCAATGAAATTCAACCACGGGGAAGCGAGGAAGTCACTTAACAAAGTTAATAACTGTAATTTTTAATAAGGCTATGATTTATGTTTGTTTTGTTTGTCTTGTGTGTTTGTTTGTTTGTTTGTCTATAATATTGTGAAAACCAATAAAATTTTTGGAAGAAAAAAAAGAGTAAATGCTTCGGCTTTCAAATGCACCTCGGAAGTCAAACATGCCACGCAGCTTCTGCTGAGTGCAAGATCCTGAGGCCTAGCTGTCAACTATTGAGTTTTCGGTTTTCCATAGTTTCAGAACTCAGTCTTCTGGAACGGATTACGTTCGAAAACTGAGGTACCACTGTGTAAGTATACATTATATGCTTAATGTAAGTTGCAGCTGCATTGTTTTTGTTGTTAATCATTTCTTTTCCTTGTTTATATTTGGATTTTTTTTTAAAGTAATGTATTTCTTCAGCACAGAGGTGAGCACCCTTTTTGACCCTGAGGGCCACCTGCAGAGGTGATCACTTACAAACTGCATGCACATACTCATACTTTGAGATCGCCCTTTAAAGTATAGCATTGCTGGAATGCAGAAGGGTAGTCGCCTCTCCCCAACCGGAAGGGAGACATCGCACTTCTCTTAGCTCACCTCAGTTTGGCAGGCTGACTGCAGCATGATTTACACAAAGAGGAAGGTGCATGAGGTGACTCTTCCTGTGTGGCTTCCTCCCCACTGGAATCAACATTTCTCTGGCATGCTAACCTGATTTTTACCAGTGGCAGCAAAAAGCAAAAGTTTAGAGGAGACAATGCTAGGATAAAAAAGGTAAAGGTACCCCTGCCCGTACGGGCCAGTCGTGTCCGACTCTAGGGTTGTGCGCCCATCTCACTTAAGAGGCCGGGGGCCAGCGCTGTCCGGGGACACTTCCGGGTCACGTGGCCAGTGTGATGAAGCTGCTCTGGCGAGCCAGCACCAGCGCAGCACACGGAAACGCCGTTTACCTTCCCACTAGAAAGCGGTACCTATTTATCTACTTGCACTTAAGAGTGCTTTCGAACTGCTAAGTGGGCAGGAGCTGGGACCGAAAGACGGGAGCTCACCCCGCCACGGGGATTCGAACCACCGACCATGCGATCGGCAAGCCCGGTTTTACCCACAGCGCCACCGGCGTCCCCAATGCTAGGATAGGTAGAGAGTTTGAAATCTGTCTACCCAACCCAGTGTCCTGATAGGTATGGGAATTGGCCCATTTGATAGGCAGGGAGGTGGTGATACACTGAGAACAAGGAGCTATGTGTTCATGCAAGTGTGCACATGAGAAAGTCTAGGGTGGTCACACCCACTTTCCACACAGACTCATTGCTGGGCTGTGGGTGCCAAACGGTTTACCAAAGGTGAATGTAACTTTAGCCATTCCTACTATAGATATTATTTTCATTAAACCCTCAAGGTTTTTCTCCTCTTACCAAGCACCAATACATCTCTTCATTTATTTCAAGCTTTGCACCAACAAATTGCACTAATTAGTTACAGGTCACAGCTGGTCAGATTTCTGAAAATCATCAATCCGGTTTCTGTGGAGATGTAACTTCCTAGTTCCACATACCTTCACACTTTATACCATCAGAGTTATCTGGCTGTAAATATTCATCATCTTCATCCTGGTCATAATCTGAAAATCAAGGTAATGCATTAAATACCACAGCAAAGTTACTTGACAGTACATGTCAGGGGCTCTGCAGCAGCTTGCCCAGCCAGAGGAAAGCATGATTGGGCTGGAAATGACACAAAGCCAGTAGCATTCTGTTCCCATCCTTATACATGGCCTCTCAAAACTTGCTTTGGGGATGGTAAAAACTGCAGTGCCCCTTTGAAAGGCAACCAACCAACCAACCAACATAAAGACAGAAGAGAAGCCCTGCTGGATCAAGACAAAGGCCCATCTAGTCCAGTGGGCAACTGGATACCTCTGGAAATCCACAAGGGGCCAATTACAACAGTGCTATCCTGACATGCGGTGGCCAGCAACATGCATCCTCCGCCCGTGGAAGTACAGCATAGCCTTATCCTTCAGGAATTTGCCTAGCCCTCTTTGGAAGCCATCCACATTGGTGACCACCATCACCACTTCTTGTAGAATTCCACAGTTTATGTGCCATTTGATGGCTTTTCTTTTGCCTGTCCTGAGTCTCCCAACATTCAGCTTCATTGGATGACCCCAGGTTATGAGAGTGTTATGAGAGATGGAGAAAAGCTTCTCTCTCCTCACTTTCTCCATAACAGTCATAATCTTGAACACCTCTCTCATGTACCACCGCCTTATTGCCTTTTTCTAAACTAAAAAGTCCCAGATTTTGCACCTGTTTTCCAGGTGAGCTGGCACAGTATTCCAAGTGTGGTCTCACTATAGATTTGTATAACAATGCTATGATATTTCATTTTCAACTTGTTTCTTCATGATCCATAACATGAAGTTCACCATGTTAGGGACAGCCATGATACATTCATGTTGAGCTTTGCTACTAATTAGGGACTCTGTCTGTTCTCTTTCCCTCCATGTACCTTTAAGAGTTCATGCCTTGTCAGTGGTACAAGTTCTCTGGGGTGAGCCAAAGGGCAAGAGCTCTAGGGCTCTTCTTTGCCTGGGGTTTGTGCACCTGGGAGGAGAGAAGGAAGCCAGTCCAAAGGGACTGTGGAAAGGATGCTCCTAAACTTCTCACATGGAGAAAAGATGTAGACAATCTGGAACTTCTTTGGAACCTGTTGCCCCACCCTTCCAAAAACAACACCGTTTCTTTATTTGATCAGTTTCTTTATTTGAGGGTGAAACAGAAGTGGAGACTAAAACCTAAGAAAAACTAGCTGCCTGGGAAAGTGAATTCTCCCTTCCCAGAGAGAATATATCAACTGCCCCAGAGCTGGTGCCATTTCTGATATTTTTTTGAATCACTACGAGTTCATATTAAAGTGCATTAACAGTTTGTTTTTATGGTTTGTTTTCTGCCTTATTTATATGCTATCATGTTTTTGATATGGTTATAGTGATTGTAACAGTTGCTAATTTAAAACGTTATTGCTATTACTGTGAGCAGCTTTGAGCTCAACATTGTTGTTGGAAAGGTGGAATACAACTGTTAAGTCAAACCTGATTTGGATAGGGTTGCCTTCCCACAAAGGGCATCATTCACTTTGGAGGTTTTCCTGCACTCATTGCTGTCTGTGGAAGTACAGGTGGAGACTTAACGTGTGCTCCTGTTTGTTCCTTGGCAGGAGAGGCTTGCTGCCACAGTCAATCAGCTGATCGCCAGTGAAAGAAGCCTGCGGGGATTGGCTGTGTTAGAGAGTTCCATGCTGGGAACTCCATAATGCGGAGCTTGAAGTCATCGCCTGTCAACTGACCAGCAGGGACTGCAAAAGCAGCATTTGAGTCCTAGCTGTGCTGCAGAGGAAGATCCAAGGTGAAGTCAGGTGATTGATGGTGGGCAGCCCTGCTGGGGAACCTAGGATCTGGCCCAGCCACCGGAAAGGTTCTTCCCTCTGCCTCACTCCACAGGAAAAATGTCTACCAGCTGCATCACCTTTATGAAAAGGGAACTTCTAAATTATCTTCTTACCCGAATTTTCCATTGAATGTTGAGAGTAGTGTATATTAACAGGTCGTTCTACTGAGCCATAGAAACTGTCAACATCTGAACCAGAATCACTAGAGAGACAGAGAGAGAAGTTTTAGAGATGACACTTGTACATTGGACTTATGGGAAGAGCAAAACTAGAGCACATTGATTGTGGAAATACAAAGTAACTGGGAAACTATTTATATCTTATGTTACTGACAAAATGATATTGTATTAACAGGCAACATTCTTATTTTAGACTTTATAGCAGCCTTCTCCAACCCTGTGGAACGCCCTCCCACCAGATGTCAAGGAGATGAGCAATTATATAACCTTCAGAAGACAGCTGAAGGCAGCCCTGTATAGGGAAGCTTTTTAATGTGTACTGTTTTATCATGTTTTTATATATGTTGGAAGCCGCCCAGTGTGGCTGGGGCAACCCAGTCAGATGGGCAGGGTACCAATAATAAAAAAGGTATGTATGTATTATTCTCCCTACTTTAGGGGTAGCCCGTGTGGCACCCTCCAGATGTTTTGAAATACAACTCAGATCAGCCCCAGCTAGCATGGCCAATGGTCTGAGAAAAAGGAGTTGGCACAAAGCTTCTGAAAGCACCAGGCTGAGGAAGGCAGCTTAAGGCAAGTTCCTTGTCAGTCTTCTGCCATGATGCCTGTGCCAGCATGTGCTGACCTTAAGTCAGTAACAGTTTCCTTCTTCTCATGGTAGTGATCTATTTCTCTTCTAAGTGAGGCCATCCAGTCCTGAAAGACAAATGATACATTATTTGGTGGGATTTGTAAGCAACAAGCATTTTGAAACAGGTATGTTTCCAAGATATAACTACACAAACAGCTATGAAGCATGTAACATTTTATTAACTAATTTGTATTTTCAAAGCAACTATTATACAAGATTTATACAGGGGAGTAATCTCACATAAGCCAAGTTCACCCCATGGCCAGATTTTTAATAGTACGAATGATACAACTGCACTATGGCCCATGCCTGCAATGCAGAACAGACTTTCATTTTTTAAAAAGGAAGTAGTAAACTTCTCACCCTACTAGAAGGAAAGTGATGAAGAAAAATATGCAGGCACCCTTCTAAGCAATTTCTGTGGCATATGCCAGCCTGGCTGCTCCCATCTTTCAGTGTTTTTAGCCAATGAGTGAAGTTAGAACTGGGAATGATAAGTGAGTTATTTGGACACCCTACTGGGATCCTAAAGAGTTACTGCTTTCCCCTCCGCTCTAGTGCACTTTTCCTTCCTGCTTCTGTTTCATTTTCTAGTCTTTCGAATCTCAGTAGTTCTAAAGACCAACTTTTGCCCTTCCCTCAATCACCTCAGGTGGTTTTGTTTGAGGTAAGGTAGTCTCTAAAAGTATTTTTTGCAAATGCTGCTACGTAATAGGTAGCTGAAGTCCAGGCAGCCTCTAAGAGTTCACCATATAGTTAACATACAATACATTGGTCTACATGACTACTCAGAAATAAGTCTCTTTGTATTTACTGCTGGCCACATGACCCGGAAGCTGTACGCTGGCTCCCTCGGCCAGTAAAGCGAGATGAGCGCCGCAACCCCAGAGTCAGTCACGACTGGACCTAATGGTCAGGGGTCCCTTTACCTTTAAGTGGGAATAGGATTGCAGGCCTTTGCTTGCGAGGAAGGAGCAGAAGGTGAGGGGGGTCAGTATCAATACAAAACAAACAGATCTTGCATAAAGCATTTATTTAAAAGGCATTTATTTAAAAATTATGAAAGAGGAGTATAAAATTAACGATAATTTTAACACAATTAAATTATTAATAATAAAAAACAATTATTTTATACATTTAAAAATCATGTTATTTATCCCAGTGGGTCTGCTGTTGGAGTAGAATATTGAAATGTAGGGCTTTTTGTTCTTTTACTGGGCCATTAGGAAACATACTATCCTTACTATTTCACCTATAAAGAATTAAAATAGTAAAAAGGAAAAATAAAATTAAAAGTATATCACTCTGCTTTTCACAATTGTTAGTATATAATTATGGCTGTGACGGGGCATATCTGTGATTATCATGAAGGGACCCTAAACTTCTGAATTTGCCACTATAGTACTGGTAGACATGGCTAGGAATGTAGCATTGATTGCCTTTCAAATATTTTATTTAGATAATAAATTTTATTTCACCTTTCTTTCATCTTCAGAGGCGGCAGAAAAAAACCAGGTCCTATGCTTTTTGCTAATGTGAACCAACTTGAAAGGAAATACATTGTTTGATGTTGTTTCTTCTGCTGCCCGCATAACCCTGTGTAACAATGAAATTATTTTTAAGCTAAAATCATGTTTATAAAGATAGCAAAATTGACATACCACAGTTGCATATAGACTTTTCTGTCCCAAAGACCAACCAAAGCAATCCACAGCACAACATCTGTACTGCTTTGTCTAAAAGAGCCATAAAAACGTAACCCTACTAAACTACAGGTGGAAACAACCTCCACAAATTAGGAGGACCACATGAAATAGTTTCCAAAGGGGTAGCCATGTTAATTGTTGAAGCCAAGAGTCTTGCAACCACCTTAAAATACATTTATTATGGCATGCTTCTTTGTGGACTACAGCCGACTTCATCAGGAGCATGAAGCATTCTCCGAAATAGGCAAGTACTACACAAGCGTAAATCAAAATGCAAATGCAAAACAAGCCACACTGTGGGAACTATATTAAGGCTTAAATATATGTAAATAATTACAACAACAATTCATAAAACCATGCTGGTGAGAACACAAATAACCTTGTATTGCTAAGCTAATTCATGCATTATTAATTGAATTTATTATATAGCTACTCCATACCATAAGCTCTCTAGGCAGCTCCCAAAGCAAATTCAACAATTAAAATACATTGATAGACAGATGCTCCATGAATATGACTAATGCTCTTTTAAAGTCATCCACGCTGATGGCCGTCACTGCATCTTATGGGAGCAAATCCCATAATTTAGCTATGGGCTACGTGAAAAAGTAGCTTGACTCTCCTGAATCTTCCAACGTTCACTGGATGACCCCAAGAGTTCTAGTATCATAAGGTAGGGAGAAAAACTCCATTTCTATCATGATGAAATACTGCAATAGGATAAACTATATTTCCACTTACCTATTATAGCCCTTCAGTGAGAAGGCACCCTGAGGAGCTGCCGAAGTGCTACTCTTAAAGTAGTAAATACATCCCTTATGGATAATCACAAACCTCAGTGGCCCTGGACCAGTATCAAGGACATGGAAAGAAGAGGGGGGAAAGGGACTTCATGTATTATTAGATTACCAAAAAAATGTACTTGCTTACATCAACACTGATGGACTTCAGATCTATAGCATTTCCAGATGCCTATCACAATGCTAGGGGATGCCAGCGGTCTTCCCCCTTCCCATCCCAAATACTCCCTACATGGGGCAAAGTAGTATTTTATAAAAGTCAGTGAAAACACAATCCTGGCTCCTTGTGAATGGTTTTGCAAGTCAGATACTTGCCTCTGGAACACTGCTCCCTCCCTCCTTTCCACCCTGGAAACTGCTTAAACAAGGAATCTGGTAAGTATCAGAAGTAGCCATAAGGCCAACTAGGGAAAGGAAGGGGACATTTGTGCCTGAAAAGGGACATGCTACTAACACATGTACCTGGTTTGCAAACCCTATTTTGCAGGGAGCTAGTGTTACATCTGCACCAGACTTCATTGGCTGATGACTCAACCACATTCTACACAGCTGCAACAAAAGCTCAGCAATAGGATGTGGGGATGAGTGTACATTTACTGCACTAAAAACAGATAGTGAAATAAGGCATGCCAGTAAAATTAAGTCTAGTCCACTTTGACCTAGTGCAGATATAGCCTCCGTACAAATATAAGCACATACTTTATCACAGTTTGGAATGAAAGCATTTGAGGTTGGCACATCCTTATTTTCCAACTTACATTTTAAGAGCTGGAATTGCGTTCCTCCTTTTTTGTGCAGGTATCCTGACTTGGTAACACCTCCAGGCATTGTCAGTAGGTTCTGTGCTCCAATAGCTTTCATTGGGACAGGCCACAATGTCTCTTCTGAAGTCATTGTTCTGAAATTTACAAAATGAGCACATTAGAGATATCATTTCATTAACATACACCAACACCAATTTACATGTAATGCATTATCTAATTTGATACAGCCTACGAACACTGATCTATTTTCTGGAAACAGAGAAACTAGTCTAGCTTAGACTGCTGCAATGTGTTGTAAAACTGTGTTAGCTCCATACAAAGACAGCACACTAGTAACTGGAATTGAGTACTGAGAACCATTTTGCCAGTAGAGTGGTACCTCGGGTTAAGAACTTAATTCGTTCCGGAGGTCCGTTCTTAACCTGAAACTGTTCTTAACCTGAAGCACCACTTTAGCTAATGGGGCCTCCTGCTGCCGCCACAATTCTGGTCTCCATCCTGAAGCAAAGTCCTTAACACGAGGTACTATTTTGGGTTAGCGGAGTCTGTAACCTAAAGCGTCTGTAACCCAATGTACCACTGTACTTAAAAGCTCCACTGAATTCTGGTTTCTTTCCAAGCATAGTTCAGAGTGCTGGCGCTTACAAGATGCTACCGAATACTGTTAACAAAGGGCCTAATAAACTTCCCACCCTAGTGATAAAGAGTACCCCCTGCCCCATCCCAATATAGAGACTGCAACTGTAGACATTACCAAAGAACAAGCCTCCCTGAATGAAGTGCTTACTTCTGAGTAAACAAGCATAGGATTTAGCAGCAAAAGGAAAGTTTCAAGAACAGTGATGGGGTGGAGGGGGGAAGCAAAGATGGCAAACAAAAAGCAAGGGAGGGAAGTCTTTCCTGTGGACCTGGAACCAAAAGCCAGCATTCATTCTCACCAAGCAGTGGGGGCAGGGATTGCCTAAAACAAACCATAATCTCCTTCACTCACCCTCCTCATACTGCACAGTCAGTACACACCCTGCTCCATTTTGTTTTGGTTTCTGGTACACTTTCAATCAAAGGGGTAGCCCACTAGTCCTAGCTTACAACAGAAACAAACAAGAGTCCAGAAGCACTTTAAAGGCTAGAAAATGTATTACTGCATAAGCTTTTATGGATTACCAAGAATGGTGCATCTGACTCTAACCCAGGTACCTTAGCCATAATAAATCTGTTTCCCATAAGTGGAAGTTTATGGGGAGGCCCTGTAAAAAAGTCCTGAGTGGCACCTTTAAGGCTAACCAATTCAGGCTACAAGGCTGTGCATAGTTATCATGGAGCAATTCCCATGGAATTCAGTTTGGTCTGCTTCTGAGTAATATACAGTTACTGTACAGTAGAATCTCACACCCTCCAACCTTTCAATGAAAATAGAGGCATCCAATCCGTGCCTCTTCTGTACCAAAGCAGGACACCTTTCAGTTAACTTAGGTGTAAAACTGCAATGCTGAACCTTCCACAATATCTTTGCAAGAGAGGAGAGGGGGGAGAAAACCAGAATGACTTCACCACACTCCTATGACCTCCATCAGGCCCAGCTACCTGGGAGTAAGGTAAAGGTAAAGGGACCCCTGACCATTAGGTCCAGTCGTGGCCGACTCTGGGGTTGCGGCGCTCATCTCGCTTTATTGGCCAAGGGAGCTGGCATACATGTGGTTTTCTGAAGTCATGTGGCCAGCATGACTAAGCCGCTTCTGGCGAACCAGAGCAGTGCACGGAAATGCCGTTTACCTTCCCACCGGAGTGGTACCTATTTATCTACTTGCACTTTGGCGTGCTTTCGAACTGCTAGGTTGGCAGGAGCTGGGATCGAGCAAGGGGAGCTCACCCTGTCGCAGGGATTTGAACCGCCGACCTTCCGATCAGCAAGTCCTAGGCTCTATGGTTAAACCCACAACACCACCCGAGTAAGCCCCACTTAATTCAATAAGAGTTACTTCTGGGTAGACAATGTTTAAGTGTGTGCCACATATCGAAAACCATGACAACATGGCACTCATCTTGAAATTTTTATTTTTATTTTTGCTTTCAGTGGGTTTATTGTTCCAGTTGCAGATGTGTGCTTTCAGCTGCTGTGTGGCATACAAATTCTTCTGCTGGTAGCAGAAAACATGCTTGGTGTCAAAACGAGTCAGAAATTCCAGGAAGTTTGCAGTCTATTTAAAAAAAACGACAAAGCAGAAAGTCCCAGTTTATTTATGTACTTCGGAAAACAGACAACTGACCAAAGCTGAAAAAAGGAACTTGAAATGCACACAGTATTTCCAAATGCAGTCTTCATTGCTTCTCTGCCCTTGCGTGACTCTGTATGATCTCTTTTAACAAGACACAATTATGATCTAATCAGTCTTCTCTGCAACAGTTCCATCTATTGCCATCTTAAGACTGAAAGCTAGCTGCATACAAGGGTTTAATGCAGGGGTAGGCAACCTAAGGTCTGGGGGCCGAATCCGGCCCAATCGCCTTCTAAATCCGGCCCACGGACGGTCTGGGAATCAGCGTGTTTTTATATGAGTAGAATGTGTGCTTTTATTTAAAATGCATCTCTGGGTTATTTGTGGGGCACAGGAATTCGTTCATTTTTTTCGTTCAAAATATAGTCCGGCCCACCACATGGTATGAGGGATGGGGGACTAGCCCATGGCTGAAAAAGGTTGCTGACCCCTGGTTTAATGCATGGGTGTAGCCAAGGCAGGGTGTAGCCCAGATCAAGTAAAAGAATAGAAATACTTAACCAACTGACCAATCACATCAGTTCTGTCCGCTCTAACAAAAGTCCTGCCCTCCCCCAACAAAAATCCTGGTGGTGCCCATGGTTTAATGCTATGCCCTGTTAGAAACATTCTTTCCCCTATTTCTTTTATCATCCTGGTTGAGAAAAAAACCCTGCAACTCAGAAGCTCAGTATTATGAACACTGATTGCTCTTCAGCATCAGGAGTTCAATATGGGTATGTCTTTGAGTTAACATCTTACATCAAAAACCTGACAGTACCTAACTATCGAAGGCTTTTCACCAAAGCCAGACTAAATGTCTTCCCCTCTGCAGTGCTGGATGGTAGGTTGAGAGGAGTTCCCTACCAGGACAGACTTTGCTCGTGTGCTCAAGACATCGATTCCATAAATCATATTTTGTTGCATTGTGCGAAGTATGAGCAGGCCAGGGCTGAACTGATACTACCCTTGCTGGTGCCTTTCCCGGGAAAGTCAGAGGCTCACTATGTCAGGTTCCTACTGGAAGACCGGACAAAAGCTAGAACGTTGGCAGTGGCAAAGTTTTTATCGGTGGTTGCAAGAACAAATGAGCCCTATATTATAAACAAAATGCTTGATTAACCTGGAGGTAGGCTGTATGAACTGTGTACAGTGGTGCCCCGCAAGACGAATGCCTTGCAAGACGAAAAACCCACAAGATGAAAGGGTTTTCCGTCGCGGAGGCGCTTCGCAAGATGAAGTTCCCTATGGGCTTGCTTCGCAAGATGAAAACGTCTGGCGAGTCTCGCCATTTTTTCCCCGCTCCCCCCCCCTTTTCAAAGCGGCTAAGCTGTTAATAGCCTTTTAACAGCTTAGCCGCTAAGCCCGCTAAGCCGCTAATAGCGCTAAATTGCTAATAGCGCTAATCTGCTTAGCCGCCAATGGGGTTGCTTCGCAAGACGAAAAAACCGCTAGAAGAAAAGAATCGCGGAACGGATTCTTTTCGTCTTGCGAGGCACCACTGTATTGATTTGTAATCTTTTGTTGGGTCTCTGGGCCGTAATAAAGATGGATGATGATGATATATATATATAATGAATTATTAGGTTTCCAATAATAAGTAAATATAGAAGCAGAGTTAAGGATGCTAATGCAATTTCATTACACTGTTATACTTCCCCCACTGAACAAACAAACAAAGCATGCCTGCAACTTTCCCGGGGTTTATGTTCTGGCGATCGTGCCTAAAGCCAAAATCGTGTATAGTCAAAACACACTGGGTTTATTGGCGGGTGGGATTGCCAAAGTCATTTTTCCTGGGTGCCCACCCCCTTTTTATTTATTAATTTTCCCAAGCATGTAAAGCTGAATGCACACGAGTAAATTGTGTTTAAGTTGTGGACTTACTGTGCATGGAACCACTGTAAAAAATAAAGTAACTTAATTAAAACTAAATTCCCCCTCTCTCACCAACAGACACTTGGGTTCCAACTCTACAATTCTATGATTCTAAGTGTCACACAAATGTCCTCAACATATCAGTGCAGCAAAGAAATAACAATTTACATGCAAATAATAACATAGCAAAATATAATTAATCTACCAAAAGAGCAGTTTACTTCAATATGCCCAAACAGCAACTCTTCATAAATTCTACAGTGGTACCTCAGGTTAAGAACTTAATTCGTTCTGGAGGTCTGTTCTTAACCTGAAACTGTTCTTAACCTGAAGCACCACTTTAGCTAATGGGACCTCTTGCTGCCGCCGCACCGCTGGAGCACGATTTCTGTTCTCATCCTGAAGCAAAGTTCTTAACCCGAGGTACTACCGGTATTTCTGGGTTAGCGGAGTCTGTAACCTGAAGCGTATGTAACCTGAGGTACCACTGTACTGTTATTAACAAGTTTCACAGCATAAAAAACAACCAGCACTGGTGCAGGGATTTGAAGATTAGATACATAGATAAGGTCTAAGGTCAAATCACATCAAAACAGATTTTCAAGTATAGTGACAGCAAAAGTACCGATATACAACAGAATCCCTCCAAAATAATCACTGAAGAACTAAATAAAAAAATTCCTTCCAGTAGCACCTTAGCGAGACCAACTAAGTTTGTTATTGGTATGAGCTTTCATGTGCATGCACACTTCTTCAGATACCTTGCATGCACACAAAAGCTCATACCCAATAACTAACTTGGTTGGTCTCTAAGGTGCTACTGGAAGGATTTTTTTTATTTTGTTTCGACTACGGCAGACCAATACGGCTACCCACCTGAAACTGCAGAACTAGTAGTTGAAAAGCCCCTCCCTATGAGTTAAAGTAAGTAAGAAAAGGGAACCACACATCCATTAAATTGTATCCCCCACCAGCTAATCTACACTGAGAGTTAATTTCTC